TTAGATCCCTTTGTGAGCAGATGCCTGCTGTGGAATCTATCCAGGGCAGCTGTGCTCGTGTCTCCTTCCTCCTTGTGAATGGGATGAAGGGAGAAGAGACCTCTGTGAGGTAAAACTGAAATTTCTCCCAGGTAACCTGGACATTATCATCGCCTGAGATCTCACAATGGAAACTCGAAGCCTTGGCTCTCATTGATTGATAGTCTGCGTGCCAGATGTTCGGGTGAGACTCAGCAGTACTCTGGTAGCGTCTAGACAGAGTACAACTGAAGAGCAAACATACATGCTCACTGGAACCCAGTGGAGGTCGGTAAGTAATGTCACCAACAAAATCGAGTGACTTAGCAAATACAAGGTCTAAAATATACGGGACTTGGGCATCCATGTACCTAGTGGGGAGGTCAGTAAACTGATGCAGCAGTACTTGGAGCGTAGGCTCAGGTAGATCAGCGTTGAATGTGCCTGACGCTGAGTCGCAAGTAAGATCTGCCAAGGAAACCTCCGGAAGGTTGAAATCGCCCATCACCAAGGACTGGTTTACGGACTGGGGGCGAAAAAAGTCAAATACCTCTTTGGATACGCTCCTAGGGATTCTATACACAATAACAACTGTAACCTGAGTCGAGGATGTGTTGCTCACAGCTGACAGAGCTTCAACAGTTTGGTTTACCGAGGGATATAAGCAATCTTCAAAACCTCAAGTTTACAGCTCACATTAAATGCGGTGCCTACTCCCTGCCGGCCAGCGAAGCAATCGCATGTAAATAGAGCGTAGCCAGGTAGATGTAATTTACCATCCGTGATGTCCTGAGACAGCCATGTTTCAACGAATGCGAATATACCGGGAGCATACTCAACTACAAGCAAAGCTAACCCGCACACCTTATTCGTTAGGCTGCGCACATTACTTACCAATATCTGAAGGTATTTGTTAGGTCCAAACTTGGGTCGTGCGCTACCAGAATGGATGGTGATAGGTCGGAAAAGGACTGCCGGATGACCACGCAAAACCCACTAACTAGAGACCTTGTTCACCAGCTGCTTGCCTGCTTTTGAGGTCCTTGTTCGCGTCCCTTAGCTTCAGCCTATCGGCCAGCGGAAGGTCTGGCTGAACCTTAATATTCCTACCTTTCAGCTTGAAAGCAAATCACATGAGAACGTTGTGTTCCCATGGGGTAGAGAGTACAACACGAAGTACTCGCGATCTAGGGTTTGGTAGATTAACTGGGACGTTCCCCAGTCTAATCAGCTTCCTGACAGTAACGCCTGGAAAACCAGGCGCACCTTTTTAACCATTGAAGTTCACCCAACATGCGATCAGCAGGAAGCACAGCAGTGGATGTAGCTGGGTGACGAAATATAACGCTAATATCCATAGAAGAATCAACACGATGGGGTGTATCGACCCTACGGGTCTTTGATTCGAAACCTTGGAGCAGGTGGCTTCACAATTGGTGCTAGGACTGTTTTTATACCCACAGCTAACGTAGCAACGGCACCATATGTTCTTCGCTCCATTATCGATGTCTTACATTTTAGCGGTTCATCGATCCCACCGAAAAGCTTTGTGGCAGATTTGGTCTGCTTTTCCTTCTTGATAACGGGAGCAGGGTTCCGTGACGCTTTGTCGCTTTGAGCACAGTCAAGCAAATCGTCAGAAAGTGTCTTCTCGGTGAGAGCCAAGACAACCGGCAGCATCGGTTGACAGGTAATGCGAGTGAGAATCTTCGCCTTTGCACAACGGTCAGGCTGTTTGAAAAGTAATGACAAATGGCTTGTTTCCGGTGCCGAGAAAATTACAACTTGTTTAGCAGACAGCTTACGGGGTTCCCTGGCTCTCTTTTACTTTACTCGAAGGGATCCCTGAACCAGCAATTCAACGTCAATCAGGGTAGTATTAGGTACGACGTCTAAAGCGGCTTCATTTTCGTAGTTGGCAGCCATTTAGACGGGTGACATAATGATTGGTGCCATAAATTGATCTCCAGGGTAAGTGATCAAACATGCGTTGTTGGACATCGGAAACATCGTCATGAGCAGCTCAATATTACGACAAAGATATGCGAACATCGGGAACGAAGGCTTTAGATTTCGCAGCCAGGTATCAAGAGATTCATCTCTCGTACGCAAGGCTGCACGGCCTTGCCAACGGCTACAGCAATTGGGCCAACTGAAAAGCAAATTTCACTGGAGTCCAGCGCTGCGTACTGCTCGCTATTCAGGTCTGTACAAAGCTGGTGGTACCATCGGTTGCACAAGTCGCACTGCATACCGCCGGAATCGTCAGTTACTGGTATATTGTACCTTGAACTGCCATAAAGTGCGATAGCCTCAGAATCCAAGCCACCTGGGACAACCGCCTCAGTGCATATCGAGACCGACATAGTGAAATACAGAGTGGAATTATAACACCTATACACTAGTTACACGACCTCAATAAAAAGGCAACAACTGCCCTGTTTTCTGCAGAGCAGGGCGGTTTACTTGACGACGACGCGACGAAAGCCAGTTTACTGGCCCTGCAATACTCATCTGTTTACTCGATCGAGACGCCGTTACCCGATGACACTGCGCCAATCCACCCCTCTTCGTTGCAGCACGTAGAAATGAGTGTGGCTGACGTGGCCAAAGGCCTTCGTGAATTAGATCCGAACTCCTCGCCGGGTCCTGATGGACTGCATCCGCTGTTCCTCAAGACCGTGGCGGACTACATTGCTGCTCCCGTCTGTCAGATATTTCGCCACTCTCTGGAAGCTGGACGACTCCCAGTTGCTTGGAAACTGGGGACCGTCAAACCTATATACAAGGGAGGGGATCGTCGAGATCCTGCAAACTATCGACCTATCTGCCTAACGTCAGTGCTGTGCAAGTTAATGGAAAGGATTCTCAAGCGCGCCCTGCAGCTTCACTTCGAGAATCTTAACATCATCTCCTGTGCCCAGCATGGCTTTCGGCGGGCACGCTCATGTACCTCGAACTTGCTTGTTGCCAGGGAAACTGGGCGAGGTCGTTAGACGCTGGGAAACGATTGGATGTGGTTTTTGTAGACTTCAGCAAGGCGTTTGACAAGGTCCCCCATGAAAGGCTCCTTCTTAAACTCCGAGGTACCGGTGTCTCTGGGAATGTCCTTTCCTGGATCGCTGATTTTTTGAATGGCCGGACCATGCGAGTCAAGGTGAATGAAGCCTACTCCACTCCTGTGCTGATGACTAGCGGTGTTCCGCAAGGGTCAGTACTTGGTCCAGAACTGTTCAAGATATTCATCAATGATCTCCCATCGGAGCTTCAGATGGATTGCCTGGTTTACGCCGATGATATGAAGCTGTGGATGGAGGTAACCTGTCTTGAGGATGCTGACAGATTGCAGGCATCATTGGACAATCTACACGACTGGTCAGTCAACTGGCAATTGCCCATAAATTGTGAAAAATGCTCAGTTCTCCCCATAGGCGCCCTCGAACCGTTCGGGATATACCATATTGGTGGGGTGTTACTCAGAACCACCACTCTTGAAAAAGATCTCGGTGTGCTTGTCTCACATGATTTACGGACCTTAGAAGACACACTACGGAGGGTTGCCTCTGCCACCAGGATGTCCCATGCCATACGAAGAGCCTTTTCGAGACTGACTCCGGAAATTTTCAGAATCTTGTTTACTTCTCATGTGCGCCCGATCCTTGAATACGGACTACCCGCAATCTGTCCTCTTACCAGGTTCGAGTGTAACATGATTGAGAAGGTACAGCGGCGTGCCTCGAAATCCATACTGGAGTTAAGGGACTTGCCTTACCCTCATCGACTACAGCGGATGCACCTGTTCTCCCTGGAATATCGCCGACGTAGAGGTGATCTAATTTTTACTAGGCGAATTCTGATGGGGGAAATGGGGACGGAGCTACAAGCGTTCTTTCAAGTCAACACTAATAGTTCCACTCGGGGGCACAACTGGAAACTATATAAAACCAGAAGACTCAGAGTTCGCTCCACTCTTGCTCTATCAACCCGCATTGTCAATGACTGGAACGACTTGCCGAAACATGTGGTCGACGCGCAATCGGAGGAATGTTTCAAGCGATTTTTGGATTCTCACTTGATGAGTAAGCTGGGACCCTGCTTCTTCCAATGTAGCTGTTACGGCCCCTTGTGGAATACCGTCTCGTAGCGACTCACGGCATCCACGCAATGATCGGGAAGTGAAGGAGCTGACAAAGGACTTTCCTTCTGCTCTCTACAATCCAATGATCCAATGAACTGGATGCAAAACGGGAGTAAAACTGGGCACAACCGGAAAAATTATCATTAAGCCCCAAAGACGCTTTGATTAGAACCGCTTTAATCGAGCCACGATACCTTGGATCAGAGGAAATTTGACAATAGTCAAATTCCATTTCAATTGTTTATGCAAACGCTGTTTTCCACAATATTTCAGGTAAAAAGCTCAATCAATAAGGCGCGCCACAAAATTGTGTTACCGCGTAGTACGCACTGGAACTCAAACTTGAACTTGAACATGGTAGGGCGCGTCTGTAAAAGCATTCTGAGTGATCGAAGTTGTCTCGAATGAGTACTTAAAATTTGGGGTCGAGTTCGGCTTAAAGTTGACGGAATTTGAACTAGTACAGTGCATCCAAGGTAAGCGTGGGTTAGAAAAATACATTATGAGTGAGCAAAAGTCGTCCAAAAAGTGTCTCATTGGGACGGCCGCGGAGCATAAAAATTTTTCACTCAGGGAGCTCCAACGGTCACTTCAACAGGCACTTTGTGGTTACGCATGCGCACAGGTTTGCCACTCATAGAGCTTCAATGGTAAGTTCAGCACATACTTTTCGGCTACTCGAACTGATGGGGTACCTATGTTACTGTGACTTTGCAGTGGCAGACTAGCGAACCAAACCGCAGTCTAGTATTATATATCACACTACTGAGCTACAACAGTTAGTTTTCAAAAATATACAAATCAATATGCTATAAATAGACGAATGATTTAAAAATATATTTACCTTTATTACCCCATCCCTAGTTTTGTCCAGTTTCATGAAGGCCTTATTAACAATATCAATCCTTGACTGGCTCATTCGGGGCTATTGAATAAAATACAACTTTATGTTACTCTCAGCGCTTTCAAAAATTCTTCGAAATCAACCGTTCCGCTTTTATCTATATCAATTGTCTCGAAAATTTCTCGGGCTTCCTCCTTTGTTAACTCGGTCCCAAAATCTCTGCACCCTTTAAAAAATTCTCTGAATTCCAATTTCTTGTCTCCATCATCATCGATTATTCTAAACTGCCTGTTTTCTGAATCATCCTCATCGTTAAACAAATAAGCGAACCTTCCGATACCCAAAATGCCATTTGCTCCGCGGGCTAAGCATATGTTTCGTAATCTGTCTAAAGGTGATGTTTTTTTCTTTAGATTAAGCTTTGCTTTCATTTGTAGTAAATAATTTGATCGATCTGTACATGCCATGGCGACCAAATTAAATTGGTTACCAATAATGTAAAGTATGCAGGACAATGCAAACAAAAATGCAAAACAATGCTTAATGGAAGCGAACCTTTTTTGATCAAAGAAGGTTGGTCCTATAATATGCAGGTGTCCTTTTAGCACTTATGTGGTGACGATAGACACAGGGGAATATTTGCATAACACAGTAATTCACAATACGACGTCGGAGTGAAGTAAGTCAATGAGATTGATGCGTTTGGTCAGTTGATACTTGACTTTTGAAGCTTTGGCTAGAGAAAACACAATTACGTATACGTTATTTTACCTTCTCGATCCAGTTGTATTTAGGGAAATTTCATAGTTGGTCATGCTCTGTTAGCGTGCCTCGTGTAAATTCAAGAATACAAATGTATTTATTTATTTATAGCAAATTCAAGTAGGACGGGCACAATAAGATTTTACAGTGAATGTAACTTCTACAGCCGCTGGACGATCCAGGATTGGCCGATGGACTTTGAAATACAGAAGAATCTAAAACCAATACCTCAAAGCACCCAAACCAAGCCAGTAGTGGCCAAGCATTCTGAACAAGCAGTCGCTGCTTGGCCGGTTACATGAACTAAGAAAAAAGAACAAGCAAAATCGGTAAGCAAGAACCGGATGAGAGCTAACCAAGTATAATGCTTTAACGGGAATTACAAAATAAACTGGATGCTTAAAATGAGTCAGTTAGGAAAAACGAAACGTTTGGTGAGATCACTCAAAAACATCGAACCGTCGCGCATAATGCTCAACCGAAAGCTTCCTATCCACATTATCAAGAAGCTAATTCCAGTTCTATACCCGCGTGACAAATGAGTTTGTGCCTTACTCCCAGCAGCCCGCGGATTGATCCGATTCAATAGGGTACCGCGGAGATTGGATAAAGTAGCGGCGCTACATACGTAAGAGCAGTCCAGACCGATATTACCCTTTAAAATGCGGTACCAGAGAGACAAAGCTACCTTATCCTTCGGTAGCGCAGTGCCTGGATTCCCAAACTAAGCAAGCGTTCGGATGCTTCCGTCCCCTTAGATCCTGCGCTGACGTAGTACACACTCGCAACACACCCCAAATTCAGTTTGTTACTGCTAAGGCTTAGTGGACAAGCCTGTAGAGTGCATCCAGGTGAGGCAGCCCAAACGCCTAGAATAACTTCATGAATAAATCGGCCGTCAAGTGTCCGTAGGTGCGATGTGTAAACCAAATCCTACGAAACCCTCTACAAGCAGCCTTTCAGATGTCGTCAGATAGACGAGAGGATGTGTGAACACTACCTAGGGCAACCTACTGAGCGACAAGAAGGATGTTACCACCGTCGATACCAGGAAGATTAGCAGCTCCGCTTTATGGGTATGGATCCCAAGGCGAATTATATGCAAGGCCTATCCAAGGCACACTAATCGTCTCAGAACCGACTGCGGCATCTACGGCATCCTTATCGGCGACACTGCGCGTAGCCCCGAATGCATTTATTTAGATTGCGAACAAGCAAGGCCTTAATATCTAGCCCTGCAGAGCGTCACTAAGGACAGCTTGCCTAAGGGAAAGGCTAAATATTGTTTCCACCCTTCCTGTAAAGCAGCCACCCACGTAAGTGCGCGAGCAGGTAGTCCGTAAGACCTTAACTTTAGTAAATGTCTACGATGAAGAACAGTGTCAAAAGCTTTTGGAAGGTCTACGAATAGCACATCATTAGCCTGACCACTGACTTCCGCTTCCGTCCATCTTTTACGAGCCACAAGTAGATTAGTTTGACACGAAAATCCCTTTTGGAATCGGTGTTGCGCAACACTGCGTAGATTAGATTGGTTCAGGTGCTTCTCCACTGAATCCCTTGCCAGCTTTTCAAATAACTTGGGTAATACTCTTGTCGAACTGACGAGTCGGTAGTTCGAAAGCAGATTATTGTCAAGTATCCTACAAATCGCACTGATTATTGCCGCTTTCCATTCCGATGGTAAGACACAACTATCAAGCGATTTTGAAAACCCGCATACCCGTGGAACCAGCAGTTCAGAGGGTACTTCCTACAACGGCTTCGAATAAACTGAATCAGTGCTGCATGCATTATAGGGGGCATACGTCTTGCAATGGCTCTAGGACCTGGATGTATATTAGCGTAAATTCAGCCAAGTAAGATTCCTTTGGAACTATTGAAGCTAATTCAACCGGAACACCGGCACCCATATACTTTTCGCTAAGCATACAAGCCTTATGAAATTCACTGTGAACACGGGGTTCCGTCTGCTTGCAGTAACGCTGGTATAGGCACTTTTGCCCCACTGAGCCACTTTACGTCAGCGAGGAGCTTCTTCGGATCAAAGGCGGCCGATTCAGCCAAACACATCTTATACTGGCGCGGAGTGGTGCTGAGATGTAGTTTACAAATATCCCTAACCTCAGGATAAATGTCGTAGGAACTGGATGGCAGGGTTTCTTGTTATGTACGCCAGTCCTTAGACTGTTTATTTATTAGGTAGCTGCATATAAAATTTACCTGTTGGGGCTGTGCCCGCACCTATTTTATCCCCATGGGTTGGATGTAGGGAACAGGAACTTCAAGAAGCTACGCCAGGATTTTATCCAAAGGCCAATGTATAAAGTCTTTTATTGAGGGCACACGGTACATAACTGAAGCCTTTGCTGGTACCGCACTATAATGCCCCGCCAAATATTCGGAAGCCAATCAACGGCCTCTGTTGTGCCCTGAAGTAACACACCGATGTCGTACGCATACGTGATCGCTGGACCCTAGAGGTACACCGTATGAAACGTCAGTCAGGAAGTTAAGTGATTTAGCGAAAACCAAACATAAAATAGATGGTACTTGGTTGTCCGTACACCGTGCGGAAGTTTACGAAATGGTGCAGAGGCAGTTGGAGGAACTGTTCAAGCATATTTGCACCGAATGTTCCCGACACAGTGTTGCACCAAAGATCGGCCCAACAGACTTCAAGGAAGTTGTAATCCGATGAAACTAAACAACTATTCGCAGCCCGAGTGCAAATAAAGTTAAGAATCTCCCTAGAGGTAGTTTCAGGACGCGTGTGTTGCACTACGAGCGCAACTGGGATAGAAGACGCGTACATAACGGTCAGCAGAGTTACGACAAAAAAACTCGAAACTATAGGTGAACAATTGTTTTCGAGGATTCTCTTCAGGCCATTATAATTATATTTAAGGGTAAAATAATGAACTGAAATAGACTCTTTGGGTCAAGTTACAAGGGTAATTACTGGATCAGTGAAGGAGGCTAAAAGTTGGACTTTGTTCTAACAGGTCGACTGCATATTATCGAGCTTGATCTGTGGCAATCGACATCAATCTCGTTCGTTCTAGCTGGCCATGGAAGCTGTAACACATGGAGCAATTTCTATTGAAGCATAATGAAGAATGAAACAAACGAATGCAAATCCATTTAGCTGTCGCAAGCGCACGAAGGCACAAACCTCTTGATTGATGCTGGGGGCCCTGTAAATTATCCTGAAGGCACGCTTTAACTCGACTTGGTGTCCCGAGTCGACAATATGGGCCAAAACGGCACTGCTAATGGCCCCCGTTCCTCCTTGACGCAACCAGCGCGTGCAGTGCCCCTTCACACTTTTGGACAAGTGCCGCGCCGTTCGACCAATATAACTAGCGTCACAAACGCACTTAGCCTCCCTCACCGATTCATTAATTCACTACATAACTTGACCCAATAAATCAACTTCGGTTCATTATTTTGCCCTTAAGTATGATTGTAATGGTCTGAAGAGAATCCTCGAAAACATTTGTTCATCTATGATCTCGTGTTCTTTTGACTCAAAATGGGAATTTTCAAGGGGTACGACAGTCTGACCCGACGAGTTCAATCCGTAGGTCATTCATGCCTCTAATTTGCAGATCACCTAAAAGACAACGCAACCACCTTGATAACCAGTGAGCGCTGTTTTGAGCATTGAGTGGCCAAGTAAACATGCCGCACCTTCCGCGATATCCAAAAAAAACGGTTCCGTGAAGTCAGGTAGATCAGGAGGCGACTGGTCGACAATTTGACCAAACTCGTGCACTGGTACTTAAGCGAGGCATATTACTAAGCACTAAGGGAAGGGATTCGGCATGAGCAACTCTAGGTCGTGCGCTATAAGTAGTAGTGCTGCTGGTGCGGAGATTGCTTGTTTGCAGACACGTAAGCCAGGAGCCTTGCCCATCAGCCATCCGGCTATTTTTGAGGTCTTGGATGACCTTCTTCCACGTCAGCCGACCTGCCAGGGGAAGATCCGGCAGAACGCTGACATTACTACACTTACGTTTGAATGTACTGTGCAGCAACCTTGTAAGTTTCTCCAGGATAGAAAAGATCAAGCAAACTAGTAGTAGTCGCGACTCTGACGCACCGATAGGAAAGTACACCAGTTGGATCAGATTTCTGACTGTGACACTAAGAAAGCCAGGTAGAGGTTGAGGTGTGAGACACAGGTTGTACCACGTGCTGTACACCAACCTGCATCACCTGAGCAGCACAGTCAGGAGTGCAGTAACGTTACGGAATATACTGCTGCTATAACTGAAGGTAGCGTTACGACAGGGAGGTGTTTACCCCACGTGTTTTGAATTAACAGTTACAAGTGATGCATTCAAGCGTGAAGGTGTGACTAGCTCTCTCCCCTCTAACGACGTTGCGGCAACGGTAGTGTGTTTTCGCATTGTTTGTGGCGTATTACTACTTTAGATAGATTTATTGGAAGCTTTAGTCTTCTTCATGCTTCTTGCTATCGAGGATAGCATCCAAGGACACTTTGCACAGAGTCAAAAGTAACGGCGCAATGCCCCTCCTTAGTATTTACCGCGAAGCTCAGTACCTTGGACTGACAAGTCTTGCACGTGGGAATTTTGACCGAGACACAACCGTCAGGCGGCTTTACTAGTGATGACATATGCTTTTTTCTCGATGCCGACAC